AGCATCACGCCGACGGACGAGAAGGGCTCCGTGGGGAAGTGGAAAGCCAACGGGCAGGAGCTCGGGCTGGACCGGAGCAGCTCCCGCTTGAGCAACAAGTACAGCTCGTCCTAAAGCCGCGCTGCCCGCGGGGCCGAGAAGAGAAGGCGCTGCGCCGGGACCCCTCTCTCTCGCCTGGCCGTCTCCTGGCTGGGCCTGAATCGTTTTTGCCTTCGTGTCATAACCCACCTGGAAGGAGCTGCAGCGTTTCATGGGCCCCTGGGACTAGCTCTGAGCACAGGCTCTGCCCCACGCTGACCCGGCCCGAGTCGCCTCCGGAGGAGGGGGAAGGGGGATTCGGATCCTTACGGGGTTTTTCATTTCCCCGCAGGAAAACCAAGTGACTCAAGGCCATCTGTCTCGGGTGGAAACGTGGGGAGATGTGCGTGCAAAGGGAAGGAAGGTTGAGATGTGGTCACTTCGAGGTGGGATTAGGGGAGGGAGAGGACTGTGATTTCCAGCTGACAAAGCCCAAGAGAAGCTGTTGCTGGGACAGTTTGTCCCCAAGCAGAGAGCAGGGATCCAGGCCCCGGGTGGACCATCAATGGTGTGAAACCTCCTGTTCCCGGCAGGGAGTCACAGGGGTAATTTGGCTTCATTGTGTGACCAACCTGCAGTAGCAGCTATGCTCAGATCAAGATTTTAGCCTTAAATGGTTCAAAATCGGTCCCAGAGCTGAACACGATTAATATTGCAGCAGACAGACTGACACGAATCCACCCCAGCCCCGGACACCGCTATTGCGCGTCTGTTTAACCGCGACTTCCCTCCCCTTTGCACAGTTTTCCCTCGGAGTTTTCCTCCTGGGCATCTTCCGTCACAAACCAACTTCATAAAGTTTGACCAAGTGTGAGAGGAGAAGAGAGCCGAGATCTCAGCAGGGAGCAGCACCCTTATAAAGCCCTTGTGCTGCGCTGGCACTTCCCATCCCTGGAATCACAGAATTGTTTTAGTAGGAAAAGACCTTTAAGATCAAGTCCAACTGTTACCTAAACTCTGCCAGGCCCATTTCTAAACCACATTCCCGAGCACCACAGCTGGGCAGCTTTTAACCACATCCAAGGACATTCAAACACATCCAAGGGTGTTTAAACACACCCAACGAGGTCCCCCTTAGGCTACAACCAAGGCCAGGACCAACAAGTTTCAGCTCAAAGGGAAAGTAATAACTTACCAGGACAGGAGCCCACGCGCAGTCGGGTTTTAGCCGCTCATGGAAACGCTTCCCTGGGCAGAGGAGGTCCCAAAACTGAGCGATCCTCGCAGCCCAGCTCAGCAAACACGCAGCCGGCCCCGAGCATCCCCCAGGGGCTGCAGGGAGGGACCAGCAGGTTAACGACCAGAAGAACCCAGGTGGGATCAGCCAAGAGCCGCAGCAGGTCCCCACTGGCCACAGACCTCGTTGGCACGGGCAGGATGAGTCCATCACGGCTAACGAGGAGCCTGATTAGGAAGGGCAGGGTTCAGCTGGCTCCTTGGCCTCACGCCCACCTACACGCGCCCCCCGCCAGCCCGTCAGAGAGACCGAGCCTGTCAATTTGTATTTGAGTGATTTTTTTGTAGAGAAAACCTGACGTTTTACATCCTCCTTCTTATTCCTCTGTATGTTAATAAAACATGTTGGTGTTTGAAAGAAAAAAACAATTAAAAACTCTCTGGGTGTTTCTCATTAAGCAGCAGGGGGGCTGCAAAGTCTGCTAAATACTTAACTGAGTGCCAGCAGGTTCCTTTGGTGAGTGTGGCCCTCCACCGGAGAGACGAGCGGGGTCCCCCTGCACCCTGGGAAGGTTTGCAGTCCTACGCCTGGCCCCGGGAGCAGGAACAACCTCCCTCCCCTGCGATTTCATACCAGGTTATGCTGGAGAAAAGGCTTTCCCCTGGCCGGCTGCCAGCGAAACCCACTGAGGCCAGGCGGCCGAGGGGCTCCACCCTTTAAATCTGCTCAGGAGGAGCCGTCAGGGCTTCCCTTTGCCTTCTGCAGGAGGGAAAGGCAAGTGGTTTTGTACTTGCCCAAATGAGCAAAGTATCGTTTTATAATGCTCTGTTTAAGAAGGAAGTCTGGCCAGACCTGCTGAGGGCAACTGCACCCGTGCCAGTAACAGAGAGATTTCTACCAGGAGGAGGTGCTGCCTCTCCAGAAGCTGAATTTTACACAGCACCGAACCCCCCTGCTCCCTGTGGACTCCAGGGCAGGCACTGGGCTACCTGCAAGCTGTGATCTGCAAATCCTGGGTGGGAAACAGCAGCGACACTCGGAGACTTAAAGAAGTAAGATGGAAGAGTGCAAGAGCTGCCTCCAGCTCTTGTTTTCCATACCCGTACCGAGCACCTCAGCAGCATCAAACTTCAGGAACTTTATTGTTAGGAGAAAACACGTTTGTATTGAAGCGGTCGTAAAAAAACCGACCAAATAAAATCTCTTGGCATGGGGAATTCAACGCACGGACGTTCCACACATCCACGGGGACGGCCAGCCCCAAAGGCTACTGCATCTCCTCCTCCCGCCGGGCCCTGTACTCCTGCACGCTCCTCTGCAAACAAGAGCAAAGGACAAACGTCAACTGTGAGTATGCAAGTGACTCACACACCGCAGTGCCACTGCTCTGTGACTTCTCTGTCCAGGGCCTGGAAGGGCCGAGGGACCTCAGAAGCTCTGACAGAGCTCCAGGTACTTTGGGAGTGACTCTAGGGGACAGTGAGCTGGGACAGGTCACAGGGTGGGCAGAGAAGGGTGAAAAAAATTATATTTTTTTCACATCAAAAGCTCCTACAACACAGGTCTCGACCCATTCGTCTCCGAAACTAAAAGACAGAAAAAACCCCTTGAGCTCTTCGGGCAACAATCTCACCTCAAAGGTGTTGAGCACGTGTTGGCAAACTCCCATCAGGTCATTCAGCCCCTTCCGGAACGGCTCAACGGCAGGAAGGGCCCCTTCAGGAAAGAGAAAACCTGAGTGAAACGGGAGGTGGCTTCCACAGGGGTTGGCAGCCCTTCCCCTCACGGCTCCGAGGCGGCGCCGTTGTCACCACGGCACCCCAGGGCAGTCCCCACAACTGGGAGAGGCTCTTACACCAGGGCTGTGCCCCCAGGCTTCCACCCTGCCAGCCTTGCCACAGCAGCCCGAGAGCTGAGCTCAGCTCTTTATTTAAATTACTCATAGTTCAAACCTGACCTGAGCGGGGGAATTCCACAAAAAGAAGGGCCCTGGACACAAAGCAAAGGCGCACGCCCGTACCTCTGGTCTGGATCCTGAAGTTGATCTTGCTTTCGGAGGGGTGCGTGATGCAGTAGCCGCAGAACTCCACGTCAGGGCTGCCGGAGGGGAGAGAGGAGAAAAGAGCGGTGAAAGCTCAACCCACAGCCCAGCTCAGGGCAGTCAGAAGCTCAGGCCACCCCAGGCCTGGTGGGGCTCAGGATGTCTCTAAAATGACCGAGGGTCTAACGGGAGGGATGTGCTGGAGGAAACTACCTGTTATTTTACCCAGGGCCCAGAAAGACATTCAGAAATCTTTCTCAAGTCAGACATTAAATTCCCAGCTCGTCAGGCAGGTTCGTGGGGTTGAAGCAGGCCCAAGGTCAGGCCAGGAAGTCAAATTGCAGGTCAGTGTCGTGTCGGGTGAGGGTAACGGGGGACAGGCACCACGCACGCACCACCAGGCAGGTGTGAAATGATGAAGAAGGGGCTGAGGTGAGGTCAGGAAGCCAGCCCGTGGGTCAGCGTCCAGGTGAACGGCCCAGGACAGGCTGAGCTGGAGACCCAGACTCCTGCACCACAGCTCTGGAGGGACAGAAAACCCTGAGCTGAGCTGGGCTGTGGGCAGGGGGTAGGTGGAGGCCCTGCATATGGCTTCTCAGGCTCATTAAGGCTTAATTAGTGCTCTCAGGGTCCCCACACCAAGAGCACAAGGGAAAAGTTAATCCTGTGAGAGAGGGACTAGTAAGGGAGGGGTCTGTGGCACCACAGCTGACAAGAGGCTCGCCTGGGGCTGGTTTTGATTGTTTGCTCTGCTCCAGCAACAGGTGGGATGCAGAGGAGTCAGAAGGCCAGAGCAGCACAGAGGTGCCCTCAGCGACGTCAGGCCCCGCAGAGCCCCCACTTACTTCTTCATGACCATGTACCGCAGGGAGTTGCCGAGCGTGTGGTCCTCGTCGTGCAGCACAAACGTGACGCAGTTTCCATCCGTCCCGTCTGCCTGGACCTGCCACGAACGGGAAAAGAAGAGACGCCGTGAGGCTCTCTGAGGAACGCCAGCCCTAGGGTGAAGAATAAACCACTGAGCTCAGCTTCACCAGAGTAACACAGACACTGATGCTTCCCAGGAAAACTGTCCCCTTCCCCTAAAGGACAGATTCCTCCCTGCAGCAGCCGGGTCTGTGCTTTGAGGCAGAACGCTGAGATTTCTCCAGCTGTTTGGAGTCTCATCTCTGCAGTGTCCAGGTATCAAACTATTCATCTGGAGGAAACAAGTTGTGAACTTTAATAAAAAAGCCGTGATGCCCTGAAGCAGGGCGCTCTGCTCGCCTGGAGTTTTTCCTCTTCGGTTACGCGCTGATTTACGAGTGTCTTTACCAAACTGGCCTTGGGTTTGAACCGTGGGAGCGGCAGAAGGAAAAGCCGATGAAGCCCTGAGGCAGCTTTAGGATCGACCAAACTCCCTGGAGTCCGACAGAGATGGAAAAGCCTGCACCTCCTCTGGGATGATCTGGGTTGCACCCTCGTCCTCTGCCAGCTACGGACGCCCGAGAGCTGCGATCTCACACTATCCGGAAGCTCTCCCGCTTACATGGGCTGTGCTTTATGCTGATGAATTATTTAGTGTCGTATTTGGTGC